TCTTTACTTTTATATTTTTTTTATTTAAAATCTTTATTGCACTTAAAATGTACAATTACTTGCTTACTTACTTAATACTTTTAGGCATTCTCTACCAGTCAACCACGAGCTAAGCAGAGAAACTTAAGCAGGTGCCATAAAAACATAAGAATATCTATACGAGGATGTAAATATAAAAAAATATAAATCTATATAAATGATTTCCTAGATAACAATGGCACAAATTTAGTGCGTCAAATGTAGCTATGCACGTTTGACAACGCATTTATCTAGGAAAAGAACCAGGAAAAGGATGTCAGAAAACTTGCATTTCTGAGAATTTAAAGATATTTAGAGCTTTTTAGACAGTTATAGTTACAGTAATTTTATAAACTGTATAACGTCTGCTGCTGAACACAGGCCTCCCCCATAGATCGTCTCATAGAGGGGATATTTTGCCATAGTTGCAACGTGTGGCAAGTGCGTTGGCCACCGCAGTTTTTTAAGTTTTTGATTGTTATTTGGAAGACGCTACTGCACCTCCCCTGGTTTGTTTCCCACTGCGCCCCTTACGAAACCCAAGGGACGATATGGGTATATGAGGCTGGTGATTGTGTAGGCGATGGGCTAGCCGCTTCATTAACAATTTTCTAACTAAACCCATATTTTTTGGTTAAACATGGTCTATTTAGCAAGCTGGATTTTGGCCTCTGCCTGCCCCTCAGGGATTACAGGCTCGACGTTATATACTCGTATGTTTTTTTTAAAAGGATAGGGTGACAAATTAGTACACACTCCACCTGATGGTAAGTGGTTACTGTGACCCATAGACATCTACATCTATCCACGATTAGGAATCAAAAGGCAGATGTGTTGTCACCCGTGAAGACTTAGATGGAGTGCCTCGTTTCCAGTAAAAAGGGTCTCCGGTTCTCTACACTCACCATATGATGCACAGCAGCATTAAGCTATTATTTTACGCTGGTATTCTGTGAGAGCGAGGTCCTTTCCCGGTCGAGCCGACCCATTCGTGCTACGAGTATACTACTATAACTGCAGCATAGTTCTACCACGTATAAATGTATTTGTTTGTATTCGCTATGTGTTTGTATTCAAGAGAGTTTCGATGCTATATTACGATTTTTAGAATTCGAAGGGCTCTTTGTTTTGTTTCTCAAAAAAATCTAAACCTTTTTTATTCTATTTGTGAAAATTTACATTATCAGTATGTATTAAATTAATTTCGAATACGAATGGTAACCCTAACCTAAAGTTCTACAATAAGAACTCTGCAGGGATTACAAGGAATAAATCAAATGTTCTCATTTATTGAATACGAGCCAGTTGAGAACTACACCGTATATTATGACTTAAAGCTGCTTAACCACTGATAGAAGCGATAATCATAATATTTCTCCGTATGTTTGAATTTTATGAATAGCGGCTATTATTTAAACTATTATTTTTTGAAACCTTATACATAGATAGGTAATAATTTCATATTTTTAAAGAATTGTTACTTCGTGATAGTTCGTAATTTTTCAAACGACCGTCTAAGTTTAACATACTCGTAATTTCTAGTATAAATTCCGCTAGAACTACGATATTTTTACTATCCTATTTAAAAAGTGTGAGCCAGTGCGCTATTTTCTATGTGTATGTTAATGGTTCTGCGGCCCTTAAAACTTCACCGAAATAGATTCGCAAGCAACAAAAACTCTAAAACTTGTAACTCGCATTTATTGAGTGTGTCGATGCAGCCGAAGTCGAGTAATGTATCCGGAAGTAAAGCGCGTTGGCTTTCCCTCTTATTTTAAACACATGTTGTAATTGGAAGATAAGGCAGGCGCTGGAATATTATTCCACTTTATTTGCTGTAAAGGTAAAAAAGAAAAATGGTAAAAAGATGTAAAGGTGAATAAAAAATGTCTACAGTAAATTTGTGGGTACATACCGAGTGCCTGGTAATAATATATAATATGATGATAACTTCTTCCAGACCGAATTTCGGTCATGGCGGTCTGTGTCATCGGGAACTAGATATCTAGCCGGAACACCATTATAGATGCATTTTCAATTCTCTTACTTTCATAGTAGACTTCAAAGTAAGATGGCTTGATACTCCGACAGTGGACGGGGTGAGAGAAATTAAGTCGTGTAATTTCTGAGCAAAAGTGAATTATTACGTATTTTGTAGCTCAGGCGATTAAACGACAGCGACGCTTTTGTTGGTTGGGAAGATTAATCACAATATTAGATTCTAAGACTGATTATTATCTAATGCTCGTGTATATATATCGATCCTATGACCTAATGGAAATAGAGCCTCTGGTAAGTGAATTATGTTCAAAGCCGGTCTGGATTAAACGATACTGCCTGTCTGAATGCGATTAATAAATTCGTTTGACATTTTGTGCTTCGAAGTGTATGTTGCATATTCATTTTAAAAATTTCGTAAAACAAAATTCATTTTTATTTCGTGTAGTTTATAACCGAGGAAATTATTAATTAATGAGAGATTAATAAAAAAAAATGTTTCTCGTGGGTGTTGTAAGTGGCGATGTAAAGACCAGAAAGACCTCATTCCTACAGAAAAATGGCGATATAACCATATTGTTAACGCCGGATGGAAAAATTATAACGTTTGGTACTGCGATTGTAAATCCGGTTGTCAAGCGTAATGTTTTTGACACATCCTCTAAACAATGGCTGATGGATATGAACATGAGGTCCTGCAGCACATTTTTACAGGCCTATGATTTATTAATTTATTTATGATGAAGTTTAAAAATTTAGGTATGCTTTTGAACTCCAGTCTTTCTTGGACTCCCCAAATTATTGCAGTGAGCCGAAAAATGTTTGCAGCATATGCTTAACTCCGGAGGCTTAACTACTTTTTACCCATTTCCACCAAAATTACGCTTGCACAATCTTTACTACTCCCTATCCTCGACTATGCTGACATTTGTTACCTTGATATCACCGAGGAGCAACTTAAGAAACTTGAGCGACTCTAAAATCTCTATATACGGTTCATATTTAGGCTTCGTAAATATGACCATGTCTCGGAATACCGCACTAAACTCAAGTGGCTCCCAATCCGTCTTGGTCGGAATACTCATATACTTTCTGCACTCTACTGCATCTTATTTAATGTATCAAGTATTCCCTATCTAAAAGAACGTTTTGAATTTCTTAGCTTTTGGTCACGACTTTTCCTTACGGTCCAAAGAAAATCTTTCGCTCCGATGTCTTGTACACTTCTCGACATTTTATGATAAATCTTTTGCTGTTCTTGGAGTAAGACTCTGGAACTACTCACCCGAGTCAATTAAAAGTGCTCAATCATTAAATGTGTTCAAGAATCTGATTAAGGAACACTATTTGTCTCTTTAACTCCTCTCTCTTCCTCCCGTTAGTAATGGTTATTAATCTACCTAAAGTATGTTGTCATTTTAGTATATATAAGTTTGTATTTTTTTTCTAATTTAGTGCACCCTACCCAATCTTATTTTAATTTTTATTAATTTCCTCTTCTGGGTTGTCTAGAAGAGATTGCTATGTAGCATTAAGAGTCCACTGCTGAACATAGGCCTCCCCCATAGATTGTCTCACACAGAGATATTTGCCATTGTTCCTCAGTTTTTTTGGCTGTTATGGGAAGACCCTGCTGTTAGCTGTTATTGGGAAGACCCTGCTGTTAGCTGTTATTGGGAAGACCCTGCTGTTTATTTCCTGATTCATTTTCGCTGTCATCCACATTACGATATGGAGTAGTGGATATTCTTACACTGCCACTATTACATTAATATTTTTCGAAAGAATGCAGTGTGAGGTAATAAATTTCAAAAAAAAAAAAAATATCACCCACATCTAAATTATTACTGACATTTAGTCAGAAAACTATATAATTATTATATAATTAAGTTAAATTAAATTAATTTTTACGGGTTTTATCGCGTTTGATATAACTTTTTAATTCCCAACATTTGGGGGGACTGAGATGTTTGACATCCTGATGTCATAGTTAACCTTCAGTATTTGACATTAGTTTTGGTCCAATCGCAGAATGAGCTTACAGTATCTTGAAGTGTTGCAGTGGAATGCCTGAGTTTGGATTTCATTTTATTAATTATAGGATCCCAGGTTACCATGGGCGCTGTAAAGCAACCGAAATATCGGGAATTACAAAGTTACATAAAACGTAATAAATTCCGTAAAAATTACTTTCATTTAATGTGTAGTGTTCGCACAAATATAAGAAATCATTATATAATTTAGTTATTTGTAACGTTATGCTTCTCGGCTAAATACATACTTCCCTTTATTTTCCAATGTGTTTTGAAGCAGGGAACAGCCCGCCATGTTGTCCCCACCTAATTTGTATTAACGACCTTTTTTTTATTAAACGAAAGTGACAAATGAACTTCAGTCCCCCTGACGGTAAGTGGCCACTGCAGGCCAGATGTGTTGTCATTTCTGAGAGGGTTTTAGGGCAAGGAAGTGTCCGCCACGGTGCCCCAACGCGTGTTGACGAATTTCACATGTCTTCGAAATATTTTTCAGTCATGCAGGTTTCCTCACGATGTTTTCCTTCACCGCCGAGCACGTGGTAAATCAGCACTAAAAATTGCAATTAACAATTTCATTGGTGTCGGTGGGTATCGAACCCGGGTTGCTCGCGTAATGTGACTTTACAGCAAGCGTTAACCATCTGAGCTACCACGGCTATATATATGTTCTCTTAATATTCTTACTGTCGTGTTTTTACAATATACCCAAAAATAAAGATTTTAACATGATTACTTATCTCTTGAGCTACCACGGTATAAATTTAAGAGTCATAAGTCTTTAATTATTTCGGTGATTTCGTATTTTACTAACTGGAAGATTAAAATATAATGTAGGTACATTTAAAGTTGGGTTGTAAAGAAGTAGAAGCTTTTTCTCTCTAATTAGTACCTTACTCAAAACCCGCTAGAACATTGAGCATCAGCGTAAAATTAAGGATGCGTACTCACCAACGCATGGGTTATGGTTCACGACGGCGAAAATACGGTCGCATCGCTTCTTCATATGAGTGTTAGGACAGATGCATCCAAAGAGGGGTGATAGACGCAGTCCAGACCAGGCTTCACGGCACGCTTCCCTGTGTAAAGGAATACTTTTTATTTTCATATACACAAACATTGAAAAGATGACTTCTAAAAAGTGTAATAGTGAGGAGCCGGCTTTAATTAATACTCATACGCTGCACTGCTAAGCTTAGGCTTCACCATTTCTGAGAGAGATATTTAACTTTTAATCCGTCGCACTGCACCAGTTTTTTTTAAATAGAATAATTGTGTCAAACGGCAACCACATCCATCTGAAAATAAGTGGACGCTGTGGCCCATAAACATCTACATTTATCCTCAATTAGGAATCAAAATGCAGATGAGTTTTGGCTCTTGAGGACTGAGATGGAATGTCTTATTTCCAGTAAAAGGGTCTCCGGTTCTGTACACTCACCATACGAAACACAGCAGCATCAAGCTCCTATTTTACGCTGGTATTCTGTGAGCGCGTGGTCCTACCCCGGTCGAGCTGACTCAATTGTGCTGATAAAATCATAATATAGCTGTAACAAGGTTCTACCACGTTTATGGTTTATGCTAGTCGATATCTCTTATCCTAAAAATATGTTTAAATTTATATATGCAGTTTTTCTTACGATGATATCTTCAGCATGTGTTAAATCAGAATTTAGTTGCAGTTAACAATTGCAATAGTGCCAGTGGGGATCGAACTTACGAGTAGGTTGCTTCTGTACTATGAAACTGACGGTGAGCAGTTAGTTCTGAAACTGTACGTTACCTTACCAACTTAACCGTAATCGAAATCGAAATTCAATTCACAATATTATTTTGCACGTTGGGCTGATTGACTATTATGTTTTTTTAAAGTTAATGTGACCAACACTTAAAAACATCTACGTAGATTAAGAATAAAAATGCAATTAATTGCGTTGACACCCCAAATATAGAACGCCTAGTTACCGGAAACGGTCTTCATTTCTAGTCGTCTGTAAAAAAATATAGCAGCATCATCATCATCTTTTTTTGCTATAAATTATGAAAATTTTCGAATCAAATATCAAAAATCGAAACAAAAGAGCTGAACCGATTTTGATAAAACATGTCTAAGATCCACCGCTAGAAAACCTGCTTTAAATTTAAAAAAAAAACGCACCTAAATCGGTTCACCCGTTTATGAGTTACAGTGCCATAGATAGACACAGAGACAGATAGAAACGAATAACGGTCAAACTTATAACACCCCTCTTTTTTGTCGGTAGTTAATAATTAAACTTACAAATTACATTTGATAATCATTTGCAAGATAGCGTCACAATACAAATATATTCTGATAATCTATGATGGAGGCTTATGTTCTGCAGTGGACAATAATAGACTAAAACGATAAGGCCTATAGGATATTGTATTATGACTGGAGTGATAGTTTTACACATGATAATAAACGCACCGTTAATTTTATGCTTATAAAGCACCACTGGTGCTTTATGTTGTTAGATATGATGAGAAACAAAAACTTAAGATTTCCCTTTTCTTATATTGAAAGATATAAAAATCTATTATCATAATCCAAATAGTTTCAAATCATGTTAAAATCCATTTGCTTACAACCCTATTAGTATTATTTACTATTCTATTACTCTATACTTTTTGCAATGCTTTTTATTTGATGTGAACGAATGAATCTGGCACACCAATACGAAAATAAATATAGATACTGAATTCTGGTATTAATGTTACCTAACTTTGGTTGTTAGCTAGGAATAGCGCCAGGAACGATTCATCTGATGGATTGAAATAAACTCGGTAGACTAGATCAATACAGTTGAACGGATTTAACTTGTATTTGTATAACAGTACGCTGAGTTTCAGAATTTTACTGCAAGATACAAAGATAGCTTGGTCAATAGAAAAGAGGTTGTTGGCTTGATTTTTGCTGCACTGTTAATATTTCTTTTAATAGATCTAAAAGTAAAGGAAATAATGTATTTAGGAAATTCAAAAGTTTAATAGTAGGGAATGAGATTGCAAAAGGGTGAGGTAAGTGGGGGAAAGAAATATGCGAGCGTTCGTATGCAAAATATTGCAAAGGGTTAGGTTTCAGCTCTCATAAGATCACTGTTGTACGTAGCCTTCTCTCTCTGTAAGGATGATCTGTCTTAATCGTCACATTGACAAAGGGATAGACGATCGCACAATCAGACGATTCGCATCCTTAAGTGCTCATTGCCGGGTTAAATTACACGTAGTGTAATCGAGATTGTTATAGCGCCGGCTATCGAAAGTCATAAGACCCTTTGGGTACAGTAGTAATTTCCAATGTCACTTAAGAAACTTGATAGAGTGATGGATGCTGTTACGCTACAGTAATTTATAAAACAAATTTCATCTTTGTTCTTAGGGACGACACGCATCTGCATTTAGGTTCTTAATTGACGATTCGCTCATATCATAATTTGAATGTCTTTGTCGAATATAAATATAGGTAACATAAATGCTCAATTGCCATCAGGTAGATTGAGTGTCTATTTGTTACTTTTCCCAAAAAAAAAATAAATAAAACAAAATAATATACAACTATACTTACTCACAGGCCGCAGGTTAATAATTGAAGCGCTGTGAAAATTAAGACCAAAAGCAACAAATGTAAACGTTGGTTTTTGACATTATAGCAAGGGTATTTTCACCATTATTTCACAAAAAGGCGTTTTCACTATTTTGTAAGTTTACGAAGATATTATTATTTATATTATTAGTCTGTAAGCCTTCCTAAAAGGAATAAATAAATAAATAAAATATATCACAGTACGCTTAAGGGTGTACTCGGCAGTAACAACACTGTTGTACGATTCATCACAGATAATATCGCCTGAATATTATACTGAATACGGATAGATAAGAGCAAGTGATCGCCTCTATATTTGTCATTACACCTGTATGTTCGCCGTAATTGATATTTTCTCATCGATATCTGTCAATTAAACAATCATACTCATGTAGGTACTGTATTTATGAAAATGTAAAGGCACGCAGTAATTAGAGTTGTTGTTATGTTACTATAGGTTTATATTTATTTGTAGTAGCAAATAAACATATTATTTCTTTCTTTCTTTATTTTTTTCTTTCTTTCTTATAGAATAATGTCGCAACAAACCTGTCTTCCATACGACATTCCCCATCACGGGCCTTGCAGGCATTCTTGAATCTCTCGAACAGCACGGAACAGGGTTTCTCGCTATGACAGACGCTCAGAGCATAGGTGCACGTTGGTAGAGTCTCCACGGGATAGGGATCTTTCTCTGTAAACAAAACACTTTTTGAGTTTCTTTTAGGAATAATTTTAAGTGCGGAAGTTTTTGAACGAATAAATTTTATTCCGTGTAGTATCGTTATAAGAATATCCACTACCCCGTATCTTCCCGTGGCCTTCGCAAAAGCCGACCGAAGGAAACTGAGGTAGATGATGGGCATCAGTATCTTTTGGATAACAGCAAAATTACAATAAAAAACAGCGGTTGTCAAGCCGCTTGCCGTGTGTAGCAACTATGGCAAACATCCCCCCATGAGACACACAAGAAATGTGTACTCCAGTAAATTAATTGGTTTTCTCACAACTTTTTTGTAACTAGGCTTGTTAGTTCAGTTACAAAAAAGTTTGTTGGTCCAATTACCTGTATTTTGTGTAGTGAGTGTCTGCAGACATTTTACTACCTTACCTTTACTATTTTTACGATCAACCCGGTATATACGCACACATACGCCACATATATGTAGAGCCACATATATGTAGAGCCACATATATGTAGAACGCGAGTAATCCGGTTTCGATCGCCGCCGGTCCCAATGAAATTGTTAATTGCAATTTTAAGTGCTGATTTACCACGTGCTAGGCGGTGAAGGAAAACATCGTGAGGAAACCGGCATGTCTGAGGAATAAGATAAAAAAAATATTCCGAAGACATGTGAAGTTCGCCAACACGCATTGGGGCAGCGCGGCGGACACTTCCTTGCCCTAAACCCTCTCAGAAATGGGGGGAGGACTGTGCCCAACAGTGGGATGTATATAGGCTGTAACTTTACCTTCCTTTACTTTTACGCCACATATAATTGCGGCGGTTCTCTATCCGCCAGCTACCAGTGACTATTAAGGCAAATTCCCTTTGCAATGATGGAGGCAATGTCCAATGCACTGTTTGCAGGGTAACGAAGAGTGAAGAATGTGCTGAGAAGTTCATTGAGTGGGTCTAACTTTAAAAAAAAATTTAAAGTTAGACCCACTCAATGAACTTCTATTATAAATTTTTTTTAGTTAGTCCTTTTCCATTTTTGGAATTTGTTGAAGAGGGCAATAAACCATTGCATATTTAGAGTTATGACAATTCCCTTGGTATATTGTGAAAGATAAACCAATCGCATATGCAAGAAATACATACTTTCAATGTATCCAGACTTTAGGACTTTAGTATAAATAACCCTACAGGCCTAAGTTATCACTGTCGTTTAACTTTAATATTGATGATTTCCTCGAGCGGTAAGGGCTACGGATTCTTTGATAGGGCAATAACATGAAGTAATTTAAATAAATAATTAATTCTAAGCAATTAATACTGACGTAGGGCACATAAACTTAATATTTAAAGTAGAAATCAATTGAAAGTAGTCAAAGGGAACCTGCACTTCAAGTGCACAGGGTTGAAATAGGCTTACGGTTTCTCAGGGGTTAAACGGCACAGTTTAAACAACATTACATTAATTACATTCAAAACGAAGTGCTAGTTGCATCTCCAAATTAGAAAGCTTACTAGTTCGTAATTTACTCGTTGAACCGTTAGTTTACGTATTCCGTTTATTTATTCCATCGGAGTTGATTTTTAACGCCTTTTGATGTTTATTAGATAAAAATTAAGAAAAAAAAATACCCCAATGTTAGTACTTACTTGCACAATATATATAAAAATATTATTTGTGGTTACATTATAAAATTTTTATTCTTAAATATTCTAATTTCAATCAAAGCCTTTTATAATATTTTCATACCCTTCTTCATGACGAACACGCAGGGATGATCGAAGAGGAAGTCGCGGAATGAGTTGCACTCGGGATCAACGTTCGGCTCTCGACAGAGACAGGTCGGTTTAAAGAACGGGAACGCTTGCAGGGTCCTCAGTGCAGCCTGGCACTTTGTCACGGTCACCGTTGAGCAAGCCACTGTAAAAAAAAGAGATTATTAAAACTTTTTAAAAGAAATGGTGTCAATGCAGGGTCAAGAACAGGCCCAGTATTCTTGTCCTAAGCAACATTATGAGATTTGCCAACCATCAGGCTATTTGGCAAAAGTAGCAAACAAAGCAGCAAGCAACATTTTTCAAGTGAAAACTTTTTTAGCATACTTGTGATTCACAACTCAATGAAATGTAAAAACGACACTAAAAAGAGACAAATATTTAAATTAATCTCTGGAACTACCCATCAGATTTGATAATTATTTTTTTATACGATAGGGTGACAAACGAGCACATAGATCAACCTAATGGTAAGTGGATGCTGTGATCCATAGACATCTACATCTATCATCGATTAGGAATCTAAATGCAGATGCGTTGTCACCCGTGAGGACTAAGATAGAATGCCTTGTTTCCAGTAAAAAGGGTCTCCGGTTCTCTATACTCACGAAACACAGCAGCATTGAGCTACTATTTTACGCTGGTATTCTGTGAGAGTGTGGTCCTCCTCGGTCGATCCGACCCATTTGTGATACAACTATACTACTAATATAACTGCAGCATGGCTCTACCACGTAAAAACGTTAATAAGTTTTGTATATGATAATTAGATATCTAGAATTAAGCTTCATCTCTCAGCTAGCCTTAGATATTGATTTTTGTTAGGCAAGTCTGAAGAAAAAGCGCTCCCAAACTTCTTTATCCGCGTGCCCTATCGTAATGGCTGGTGATACGTAAATACTAAGTTCTACAAAAATATAGATCTTCCTCCGTCTAAAAAAATGTCCATGAGCCTATTTTTTATTATTAAGCCACAATGAGGTATTTTGTAACAAAAACATATTGAAAATTGAAAAGTGATTTATAAACGTTATGATTAGGCATGGCATATTAATCATTACGAACGAAAGTTACTTCATCATCAAGACAATTTTATGAAGGTAAGCTTCGCTCTTTTTAGCATGTTATTTAAACGCATAGTTTAAGAGATAATAAAAAATTTAATTAATTCAACACTCGGCTAGGCGCCCAAAGCGCGAACGATATACGACGAGCCTATACATGTCTAAAAATAAGGATTGTAATATATATTTGCTATAAAATTAAACTTTTATCTTCTGCCGACGTTGTGGTTGAATATTATCAGATTAAATAAATCATTTCCTGAAATGTTTTTGTTTTATATTTTATTTAATTTGAAGGTTGCACTTTTACCGCCTGTTCACATGTGTTTTTTTAAATAAAATAAAACTAATAAAAACAATCGTATTTAGCTGTAAAGTGTTAACGAGTTGGGATTAAGTAATATTTAATTTTAGAAGTTTCCTAATCCAGTTTAGTTTTCCGAGCTCTTTATAATGACAAAACCTATTACGCACTGGTTCGAAAAATATGTCCGTTATAAAGAACAGCAGATGGGCAATACCAGGATGGTTCATTTTTTGAAAATCGATAGTTTTTGAAAAGTATTTCTTTTAAAACAAAGAAGTGTTTCAAAGAATTTGTATTACAATGTTAATACCGTACATAAATATTCTTCTCCGTCAGCCTGTAAAAGTCTACTGAATATTGTTATTCTATTATACAGAGCATTTTCATTGATTGCCACACTTGCCAAGTGGATGACCAATAGGAATAACCAGATCTCTTGCACCTCTGACGCTGCTCCCCTTCATCGTTATGGGCATTTTATGTCTAGCCTAAACTACAAAATACGGAGGTATTTGAGATTTTTCTGGCATTTTTTTACGTAGTAGAGCTATGCTGCAGCTATATTGAGGTTGCAGCACGTATCGGTCGGCTCGAACGGGGTAGGACCACGCTCTCACAGAATACCAGCGTAAAATAACAGTTTAATGGTGCTGTGTTTCGGATGGTGAGTGTAAAGAGCCGGAGACCCTTTTTACTGGAAAACGAGGCATTCCATCTCAGTCCTCAGGACTGGCAACGCATCTGCATTTTGAATTTTAACTGAAAATAAATGTAGATGTCTATGAGCCATAGCATCCACTTAACATTAGGTGGACTGTGAGCTCGTTTGTCACCCTTATACAGTTGAAAAAATCCCATAATAACATTGTACGACACCCACGGGACTGAACGGGATTATGAGTTCTTTTATGCCTTCACAGGGCAATATGTAAGCTATCATCAGCAATTTTTCTAAATTAATATAACTTGTGGTCCGTTAAAAAAGAGCCTACTCTCTTAAAAAGCATGGGCCGGTAACGCATCTGCAATTTGCCTGGTTGATTGTCGTCTGCTATGGGACTACTTTTATTCATCCCATGCAGGTTTCGGGCCTCGGGGAAGCCCCCATTACCCGGGTGATCCTCACGGCTCATGACAATGAGCCGGTCTTGGAAGCCGTACCAGTACGGCATCGTTGGCTATCTTGGTTGGCGTATTGCGCGCCACCAGGTCGGTGCTACCGGAGGGTCGGCCGTCTCGAAGCCCCGCGGAGTCCTGAGGATGGGAGTCGACGCAGGGCCAATCTTGCCGACGGGAGGGCGCTCCAACAGCAGCTGCTCCGGGCCTCCAGTGCTCCTTCCTGGCTCTAGTTGAAGGCCTGGCATTCCTAGGCAAAAGGTTGGCGTGTCTCGCGCCTCTGGGAAGGGAATCTGCCGAAGGGTCAGCAACTTCAAGGTTCCGCGGAGAAGCATCTCGACGCGGAGCTGAAGTCACCAACAGGCGCGCGCACTTGGGTGCGCCGGGCCTTCGGAGTTCGCTTCCCAGCGTGTAGGTTCGGATGTCACGTCCTCAACTCACAAGCCGAGTTGGCCCCACAGCGCGCACCCACTGCGAAGCGACGCGCTGTACTTCTCCCACCCGGGCGGGAGTCGACGACCAGCGGACGTGACCGCTCGTTGGCGCGGTCCGGACGAGACTCTTTGCCTGGTGTTGCAGTTTGTTTATGGGCAGCGTAAGAATCTTACTATTGGGTGAGCCGCATGCTTGTATGAGATGAAATTAATGATATTTATTCAATATGGATCATTGCATAATACTTATTGAGAGTCATTTTTTTGTTTACCGCTGGTTCGAAAAAACCTCTGTCCTGGGAAGAACCAGCAAGAAACCCAGCGGAACTTTTTTAAACATATTTCACTTGACAATAATTTTGTTTTTACACTTTTTAAATGAATTTTTATAGAACTAGCATGGTGGTAATCATTCACAGGGGTTATTTTGCATTTATGTATCCTCTGATATTATAATAACCCTTTATGTAGGTACAATTTTTCTTTAATAAAACATTCAACTTGTTTAATGACAAATTTTACACATTTGATGGGATTTTGTAGTATAAGAGTATATATTGTAGAAACACCGTTTATTAAATTAAAGAATGAGTTGGCCGACATTTGTTAAGGTTATAAACGCGTCATATCCTTTCATATTTGATATGACAATTTGATATGTGTCATCCCTAAGAACAAAAGGTTTATGAGGGTGGATTGAAAAGTACTCGGCCTAACCAAGAAAATAAACACATACTAAATCAGTTATATTTTTATTTTTCTACATAATCACCATCAAGTTCAATACACTTTTGCCACCTCCCCTTCCAAGCATTTAGACCGTTGAAAAAAAAATGATTCTTCCTTAGAGTCAAAATATGCGTTTACAGCTGCTTTGACCTCGTCGTTTGTCGAAAATCTTTGACCTCCCAAGTGCTTTTTTAGGTTAGGGAACAGAAAGAAGTCTGATGGTGCCAGATCAGGTGAATACGGTGGATGCGGTAACAGTTCAAAGCTACAGTTGTGAATTTCAGCCATTGACTGTACTGACGTGTGAACACGGGCGTTATCTTGATGAAACAAGACTTTTCTTCTGAGCATTCCTCGACGTTTTTCTTTTATTTCCTCTCGTAAACGACGTAGTAAGGTGCAGTAGTAATCAGAGTTTATAGTCTGACCCCTTTCAAGATAATCAATCATAATCACACCTTTCGAGTCCCAGAATACTGAAGCAATCACCTTATTTGCCGACAAAATCGACTTAGCCTTTTTAGGGGGTGGTGTACCAGGTCTTCTCCACTGTTTTGATTATTGTTTTGTTTCCGGTGTAGAGTAATGAACCCACGTTTCGTCCATAGTAACAAAACGATTCAAAAAATCATCTGCATAGGCTTCAAATAACTCCAAACAGTCGCGTGAAATAGTCAATCGCGTCCTTTTTTGTTCAACTGAAAGCAGTCGCGGAACCCACCTCGCAGACACCTTGTGGAAACCCAACTCGTTGACAATGATGTTTTGAGTTCATTCATAAGAGATGCCTATAATCTCGGCTATCTCTCTAATTTTTAATCTGCGGTCTCCCATTATTAAATCAAGTACTTTTTTAATATTTTCGTCAGTAGTTGACGTCGAAGGCCTTCCAGAGCGGGGTTCATCTTTCACACTCTCTCTACCACGCTTAAATTCTGATATCCATTTTTTGACGGATGAATATGACAGAGCACAATCGCCTAATGTACTGACCATGTCATCATGGATGGCTTTTGATGATAGCCCCTTCTTATGGAGGTACTTAATGACGGCACGCTGCTCGATTTGCTCCATTCGCGGAAATTATGTCCGATTACTTTGTTAATAAATTTATAAAATCACAACTAATTATCGCACACGTTTCGAACTTCACACAATGAACTAGTCTGAACTGAAATAAATAATGTGGGTAGATTTGATTTTTAGAATTGAATGGATCTGTGTTAGGCAGAGTACTTTTCAATCCACCCAGGTAAAATTGTTTACTGCGTTACTTAATTGAAGCAATCACGGTAATATTAAATTAATGAAGTAAGACTGTCCATTTGTGATACCGAAATCGTGTTCTAAATACATAACGCATTGTTGTCTAGACGGACAGACGGACTATTAGGCAGTAAAGGAAGTTCTTTAATGGATAGGATCCGTGTAATCCGCCTTCCATTAATAGGGTTCAACAAAAACCTTTCCTACAATACAATCAATGCGAGTTATC